AAGGCCTCTTGGCTTATGGGTGAATAGAAACCATGAACATCGACATCGCGAGTTTTAATGGTGGCAAGACCACAAGGACATTACATAGCCCTATGTTTTATTAGACAAACTTTGACACTAGAGAAAATTTAATCAACTAACTATCAGAACTGAATACTCGTTGATTTTACAATTATCGCATAATATAGCATATTTGTTTATAGTAAAATGTAACAAAGTCGTGTTGGTTTTTACCCAATTTAATCAATGGTGGCAAGACCACACCGACATTACATATCCCTATGTTTTATTAGACAAACTTTGACACGAGAGAAAATTTAATCAACTAACTATCGGAGCTTAATACTCGTTGATTTTACAAATATCGCATAATATAGTACATATGTTTATAGTAAAATGTAACAAACTCATGTTGGTTTTTACCCAAATTTGGTAAATAAAAGGAGTCGCATTGTGAAAGGGAAAAAGAATTTTAGTTAGGCATTAAATATGAAATAATGCAGTAAGGTGAAAAAACACTTTTTCACTGAGGAAAGGGAGCAAGGAGATAATTCCTAGAAGAATTGTATTGAAAAAGAGAATCAATTTGCAATTAGGAAAAGAACTCCTAATGCAATAGGGAAAAGAAATTTACCATACGGAAGGGTCTTTCGACTCTTTCCTATAGTTTCATGGAATCATATTGAGAATAATTGTATTTGGCACCAATGTGACGAAAATTCGAACCAAAAATTACTTACATCCAAAATTATAAGAATTTATGGAGAGAAAATTGTTGGAGAGAAACTAAAAATAATAATGATACGAACTTTTATGTTTTTGTTTTCTTAGGGAGAAGTTGTGCGAGTGGGAAAACATTATATTGTGAAGTTTCCTTAATTAATAAAGTATTTCTCTCATGTGATTGTTGACAAGTCAAACCAGGTTTAATTATGTTTTTCGCTTTCGACTCATTTTCTCATTTTATTTCCTATGTGCGATAAGTAAAATTTTTTCACTACAATATCGATGGTGCCGATATGTTTTATGTCAAATTAATGTAAATATTTCCACTTTCCCATACGTTGTCGTCAATTGAGCAAATAAGGATTGGCTAACGCCAATAAAAGTCATTATTAATTCGATGACTGTTGGAAATTGAACATGAATCAAGCTACATTACCAGGGCCGCATAGGCCCTAGTAATGCTAGGGACCTGGCAAAAGGGTTTAACCGATTGAACATTGAGGCAGTTGGAAATGTTTGCATGTGACACAATTTATTATTAGTTCAGTACGAATGTACGATTCTGCTGCATTTAGCATATGGCACAATTTATTATTAGTCCAGTACAATTTTGTATTTAGTGCATCTTACCTAACATTTGTTACCAAATTAATGAATTGTACAATCAAAAGAAAAAAAACAAAAAAAATAAGTAAAAAAATAAGGATAATGCTAGTGATACATAATTTTTTGCACTAAGGCTATGTTTGATAGCCAAGGAATTCCATAGAAGTAGGAAAAAGTTTTCCATTTTCCCCAAATTGTGGTGTTTGATAGCACAAATTTTCCTAGGAAAACATTTTCCACATTTTTCTAGGTACAATCATTTGAT